AATATTCTATCTACTTAGGGGGGACTATAAACCCCTAAGCCCTAAACCCTAAATAGTAGTTTCCATTTTCTTTTCCATTATCCCAATATAACCCCAATATAGCCCTAATAGTACCCAATGGGTACCCTTCTAATCGTCATTCAGCCCCTCAGTCGATAATGGAAAATAAAATGGAAACTAGTGTAGTATTATAGGGTATATATAGGGATTCTATGGGGATAATGGAACATAAAATGGAAACTATAGGGATTATTTTGTATTTAGAGGTTGCCGGAATTTGTGATCCCTGCCTCGGTGCCCTAGATGTGGGGCCGTGTTATACCAGGGTTTAGGGTTTAGGGATCCAAAAAGAGGACTAGAGTTTCGACGGCCATATATCCCTAAACTTGTTGGTGGTTCGAGGGGAACGAAGGTTACCTCATCATCAGTGTATATATATATCGAAACTCCTTGAGGGCTCCATATGGCCTTCAATACCCTAAACCCCAGGTCGAAAGTCTACAAGCGAGCATCTGAAGAGGCCCCTGCGGCTTGCAATTGCCAAGCTATTTAGGATCAGGGGCGATTGATTACCAGGGTTTAGGGATTAGGGTTTCGGGTTACATGGCAAGCGTTTGGAGCGGGGCAGGAATGGGGCTTGGAGTTTAGGAGTTCGTGTTGAGGGCCACAGGGTTTGGGATCAGGTCTAAGCGAATTTCAGGTGGGTGTATCTCAAGATGGTGGTGGCATTTTCCCTAAACCCTAACCCTAAACCCCAAACCCTAAATCCGAAAGCTAGGGGCTTCATGTCCCTAAACCCTTTAAACCTCTAGGTAATCCTTAGGGTTTAGGCCCAATCCGCTAATAATCTACATGTATTCCCAGGGTCCCCCATCTTGAGAAATTTCCCTTGAGCGGTAGGCCTTCCCAAGAAACCTTGATACCCGAGCTCTAGCTAAACCCTAAGCCCCAAATCCCAGCCCTAAACGCCAAACACTAACCCCAAGCCCTAAATCCCAAACCCCCAAGCCTAAACCCCAAACCCCACGCTCCAAGCCCTAAACCTTGAACCTTAACCGTCGAACCGTGGGCCTCGCTATGCATTCCCTCTTTAATCCCTATGTAAGGCCACGTACTCCCTGTATAGTCCCTATATTTTCCGACATATCCCTGCTCCCTAGATAATCCCTATGTACTTCGTATATAATCCCCACAGAATCCCCATATATCCCTATCACCCCTACATAATCCCCATATATCCCGATGTCTCCCTACCTATATAACCCTTATATATTCCTATATATCCACATACACTCCTCATATATCCCTATCCCTATACTTCTTACACATTGCCTATAACCCTTTGCACTCCCTGGCCCAGACCTTCAAGCTTCCCACGCGGATCGCGCAGCTCGGGCTTCGCCTCGTCTCGGACTCCCTGGCGCTGGCGGCGCTGCGGAATTCCGAGTCCTCAGGCTTTTAGGGTTCAAGGTTAAGGCCTGCACCCAAAACCCTAAACCCTCTAGTTTGAAAAAGGATTTGCAAAAACAACGCCCTGGAGGGTTTAGGGTTTATGGTAGGGGGTTTAGTGTTGAGGGTTGGCCTTGCAACAAGATTCCTCAAGCATAATTCCTTTGTAATGCCCACATATCCCCAGACTCCCCTAAACCCTAAACCCCCCCTTGGGAAGCCGGAGCCCTACACAGTTTTCCCTACAGCCCCTGGGGGCTCCCTTGCTTAGGGCCGAACCCCCAAATCAGACTTGGATGCAGGCATCACCGAAGAAAGGCTGAAGGAGGAGCTGCGAAAGGTGGGACTTTTGTCAAAGCAGGGTTTGAAATGATAATAATAATAATAATAGTCATAAGGATTATATAGGGGCTTTATATAGGGGTTATATAGGATTCTGTAGGGGTTATTTGGGGATTATATAAGGATTTATATGGAGATTATTTACGGATAATGGAAAAGAAAATGGAAACTACTGTAGGTTCAGGGTTTAGGTAATACTAGTGAGCCGTTTGCTGTTGCCAGAGATGTTTGCAGACGGCCAGGAAGTTCTGGGGCCCCTTGGTATCACCTAAACCTTAAACCCTAAACCCTATAGTAGTTTACATTTCGAAAATCCAGATGTTTATTACTATTACTAATATTTGTATTATTACCGTTATTACTACAAAGTAGGGATTACGTTGGTGACATGTCAAGAAATTTGCAGGTCATATCTGCCACAGCTGCTGAACCTTCTGTCCACCTCGACAAGATTGGCGATCCGGACTCAGTTGCCAATCCCGGATGTGGTTTATGGGTTTTGGGTTAGTTGTCAGACACTTCCCTCTGACAATGGTATTGGACGTCTATGTTATATTGGGGTAATATTGGGATAACGGAAACTACTATTTTATAGTGGGGTAACATTGCGATAATGGAAAAGAAAATGGAAACTACTGTGTCTCCTTGCTTTGTATCTCGGATTCTTCTAGGGAGGTGTCAAATGCGTAGACAAAGCCATCAGGACATGCTCTTCTGCCCCAAGCCCTACCTGGGGGGTCGTGTGACTTGTTATGTAAGCAAGTTGATAACCGGCATAAGTAGAATTGCGAAGTTCCCCTGACTCTGCAAGCAGCCCAATGGTGAGTGAAGTTTCAATTTCACCCTAAACTCTAAACCCTAAACCAATACAACACAAGGCATCTTTGGACCTTGCACAGACGTTGTCTGTGCCTAGTTTGCACAAGCAACTTCTTCCAGATCCTCAGTCAAAGACACCTGGTGGATAATGTAGACCCATGATTAGTCGACCCCCTCCTTTTAAGGGCCTTAATATCAGGATCTCCATTATAATCCCTATTAAGGGAGGGAGTTTATTAATCAGGGGTCTGGGTTAGTCACCAGGTTGGTACCCCCACGCAAGCCTCATACAAGGCTCGCGTAAGGGTATTGTTGTGGCTCTGTAAGGTCTGTATAGGCCTCTTTTAAGGGTACCCACCTGACAACTACCCACCTGGAACTTATAGTCCCCCTTAAGTAGATAGAACATCGTGTAATATGGAGATCTTATAATGATATACCCCAAGCCATATTCTATCTATTTAAGGGGGACTATACTTTAACCCCGAGTGGCCTGAGGATTATTATGGAGACCACGTCTTCATGATTCTGAGGCTGGGCATGCTTGGAGGGTGGTCGTGGATATAGGAAGTATATGTGTACCTCATGAATTACCGTAAACAATGCCAGTTCTCCTCATTGTTTATCTACTTGCCTGGAGCCGTTTCCATGAACTACAAGTTCCCCTATCCCCTTCCAAATAACCTGTGGACCCAGAGCATGCCTTTGCTCGAGAGTGTAAGCCGAGACGGCTACTGGAAAACATTCACCAAGGCTTTAATTGTGTAGGGGTGTATTTTATATAGGTTTTGGTGGGTGATGGTGGGTGCACCTTAGGAATTCTGGTAAGCGTCTACGCTGCGCATCCAGGGTGTCCCAAAAACATGCGCACACAGAGGATTATGTCCTGGCGTGCCGCTTGGTGAACTATGTGGGGTTCTAGTATGAAAAAATGAAAACAGGGAAAACGAGCGAACACAAAAACGATAAGGTCTGAAACGTGAAAAAACGATAAGAGGTAAATGAAGCGACAGCAATTCAGGTCAATCAAAAAGGAACGGGGCTTTAGACAACCACAAGTGGTGCTGTGGAAATACTTTGAAATCCGATATGGGGAATTGGGATTACATAAGTTTTGTTGAGCAAAAAACACAGTCCTTATGTAGGGCCCTCAGCAATTCCCCCTTAAGCTTGTGAGATTCCACTTGGAGGTCCATGGGTGGTTTGTAGTGGACATAACTGGGATGGCTATTCTTACCATGTGGGTTTTGGGGTCTGTATAACCTCACTTATGACTACAATCCCCAACATACTATAGCAGTTTCCATTTTGTTTTCCATCATTCCCCAAACCCCAATATGCTAACCTCCAGTCAGTTAAAGTACTATTCCTAAACATTAAACCGTAAACCCTAAACCTTGAACCCTGAACCCTGAACCCTAACCCCCAGTAATTTAGGACTGCCCGTGAATCTCCGAGCAGGGACATTGCTCGTCAAGGGCATTGCGACGGAGATCTGTCTGGGGCGGTGCAGAGTGGCAGCTCGATAGCCTTTGCAGTTAAGGTTTAGGGTTTAGAGTTTAGGGTTTAGGATTTTGGCTTTAGTGTTTAGGGCGCCATCAAGAATCATGAAGACTTAGACGGCGCCATCAAACAATCACGAAGACTTATACACCAACCGCTCTTGCCATTGCACCCTCTGAAGCGTTTAACATCACAGCGCATGTAGGCCCGCTTTGAACGGACTGCAATCTTTGTAGGGCCCATTCTGGGTTGCCATGTTTCTTTGGGTGAGGGTAGTCGTACAAAATCCTTGCATTTACGCTTGCATGAAGTCTGAGGAGTATTTTGGTTCCAGTTCCAGTAATTCGCACGACCATCCGTATGTCCGCAGAGATTAACTTCACCTTACCTTTGTTTAGCTAGGAATGAAGGAATGGATCATTATACAAGTCCTTCAAAAAAAAGAAAAAAGAAAGTAGTTTCCATTTTCTTTTCCATTCCGTTTAAACCCTAAACCCCAAACAAAGCCTAAGGCCTAAACCCTATAGTAGTGTCATTTGCTTTTCCACTCCTTCATTCCCAGCTAGCCAAAGGTAAGTTACGGGGTTGAGGGATGTTGAGGGTCTAGGTAGCGAACTCAAAACAGGAACGTGCTAGGTGGATCGCCCACAGTAATATTAGGGTCCTGGTACACTCCTATTATATCACTGTTACATGGTGAGGGTCCACCTAAGCGATGACTGTGATTTACTTCCTGTTGCCTGCAAATTGGTGTTGCAGGGCAGTACGCACATGCGTGTCTCCAAATAGCGGCCCTTTTTGGGGCTTTCTGCTATAAGGAGTACAGTGCGTTGGGGTAGATAATGGGGGCCCTCGTTTTCAGATCACATATCCATACATAGTCCGTAGGAAGGAACCTTTCAATCCCCCTTGGAGCCTGGGATTTTTGGTGTTTCGCACTACTTGCACCATCATCATTATTCAGTATTCTTAATTACTATTGTTGAACAGTTGTCATTATCAAAATAATGACGGCATCAGTACCAAGTACAATATTTTCTCATGATTGCCATTATTGTTGTTAGTAACTTGTTGTCTTATTGGAACTACTGCTGATTTTAGTGTTTGGGCACCCACTATGGAGCCTATAATATCCCTAAACCCTAAACCCTAAGCCCTAAACCTTAACCCTAAACCATGACGCGACCCCAAGTTAGGGGCCCATGTTAGGGGCCCATGCTTCCAACCTTCGGTTTGAGGAACCCGCCCTCAAGCCAACTCCTTGACCCCGAAAGCCCTAAAGCCAAAGATCCTAAACCCTAAAACCCCAAGCCCTAAACCTTAAAACCCAAAACCCTCAACCCTGAATAGTAGTTTCCATTTGTTTTTCCATTCTTCCTATATACTCTCTATATTATCCCTATATAATTCCCAAATAACCCCTATAGAATCCCCTGTCCCTATAAAACCACCCCTTCGTGAGGTCAGTTTGCCAACCTGATGTCCCTGGGCCAGACTGTTCACATCCGGGATCTCGTCGCATACTTCGACACCCAGCGACGGCGCTCCTGGATGGAGTGCTCGTCAGTCAATTAGCATCTAGGGTTATAGGTACCTGTTGGGGTAATGTTAGGGCTATATTGGGGTTATATGAGCTATAGTCTAAATTCCTTGAAGGGGCATTATAGGGGATTCTATAGGGGAGCATTATAGAGCTTACTAAGGGGGATACGAGGAGTTTAGACTATGGCTCATATTGGGATACTGGAAAAGAAAATGGAAACTACTGTTTAGGCTTCAGGGTTTAAGTGGTGTAGTCTTGACCCGGCTTAATTCTCTACGCATCAAAACTAGATTCTCACCCTGCACACCTGCAAAAACTAGAGCACTGATAATGTGGACCCACTGTCTAAACTCCTAGTTACCACTGTCCATCAGCAGCAAGACTTTTTGGTCAGGGATTGTTATTTGTTATTGAAGCGACTAATATCATTGTCATTTCCTTTTGTTTCTGTTATAGCCTTCGTACGCCACTGTTTATTGTATGGTGTTCTGGGTGTTGTTACGTGATATTGCCTACTGCGGTACACTTCTCAAAGCGAAGTGCAGCTCCAAGCCCTTTACAAGAGCCTAAAAACCTTCCAGCATCATTCTGTTGTAATCCTTTTACCAAGACAGTCCAACATACCCCCAAAATCCTATTCTAATATACTTGCTACGTACAATCTTTGCAACCTCTACATGAACTCAACTTCCATTTAATTTTCCATTTTCGTGTGTGTCTATATGATGCTCCACTAGTCAAGCTCCTTACATGTCCCGATGTACTTACGTATCTTATCTTCTGCATAAACTATTTGAAGAAACCCCATTCTAATCATGAAGGCCGCTAAAAGATCCCTAAGCTCCAAACCCGGAATCCTAGACACATTTCCACTTCCTTTTTTTTTGAACCCGCCTACCTACAGAAGCTTTATGCACATGTATATATGTATATATATATATATACAGATATACACATATACATATTAGGGTCTAGGGTTGAGGGTTTAGGGTGTATGTGTTCGTCCCCGCTTGACCCCTTGCAACCCTCAAACGGCGTTACAGCGCTGAGGTGGTGGTTCCTGCCAAGACCACACAGGCTCCAGATAAAAAAGATGCGGGCCGATGACAAGGTGGGGACCTAACTTAACTGACCAAAACATGGATATACATAGTAAACAGTATGGTCTCCTCTTCATGGTTACTTAACCTGCATTATCTTGCTGGTTGCTAGTACGGAATGAAGGCATGGAACATAGCATGGAGACTACTATGCCATTTTGAGATTGTAGAGAGTCGACTTTTGGGATCCATTCCTTCTCCAGTCCCTACTCAACACCCTAAAGGCCAGTTTCCATTTTCTTTGCCATTTGCTACTCGCGACCACAACCAGAAAGCCTGTGCCAGGTTGATACAAACTCGACTGAGTAGTGGGCCCCTAGAGCTACCGCAAGAATGACGTGCTACCAGGGCAAAGTATCAGTGCTGGTTCCCCATGATAAGTAAGTACAAGCGAATCACAGTCACAAGGACAAGAAATCCTGCTGTAAACTGTAAACCCCAAACCCTACACCCTAAAATCTAAATAGTACTTTTCTCTTTATTTCCCACTATCCCAATAGAACCTCAACAAAACCCTGATATTACCCCAATGGCTACGGCTAAGAAACCATGACGCCAAGCTTTGGCTTTGCTGGAAGGCAACTGGTGAAGAAGCCCAGCCCAGTGCCGCGACCAGTGGCGTGAAACTGGTTGCAGACCTGGACAGACTATGCATGGAATGCAACGCGGTTTAGGTTTTAGGGTTTAGGGTTTAGGGCTACGATAGTGCTTGCGGAAATGTTGGGGAAAAGCAAGATGATCTGGAACTACAGGGGTTCTCATTGAGCGATGGCTTTTTCGTGTCGTTTAGGGGGTTTGAGCTGCTGCAAGATGTGTACAAGAAGCAGGACAGCCCAGACGACGGGTGGGACAACAGCAAGAAGCAGGACAGGCTATGGAGGGACATAAACGGAAACCCATTGGGATAGTATTAGGGTAATATTGGGGTTATAGTGGGATGATGGAAAACAAAATTGGGGTTTAGGGTTTAGGTTCAGAGTTTAGACCTAGACAGGGACTTGTCTGCCAAACAAGAGCAGATGGTATAGCACCTGTAACTCCTGCTATTGTTTCACGGTTGCAGTCTGCCTGCTGTTGCTCTTGTGGTGGTATCATGTAATTCCCGCTTCGGTTCTTCATCGCGAGTATCAGTACCCCTAGACCCTAAACCTTAAACCTTACGCCCCAAACCCTGAACC